ATGATTTTAGTGTCTCAGAGTGCTTGCTCCACACCACCAGACAGCAAACCAACCATATGGGGCTGACTGAGTGGTACACGTCCTTTGCTCTGTCTGAGCTTTCTAGAAATGATGGGCCTGAAAAATCAAACGCAGAGCAGTGCTATGGGGCTGACTGCCTGCCTGGGGCCATAGCTCAGGACAGGCTATCCCTAAACATTGTCACTCTCCACAAGATTCACAACACAGACACCTACAGCCTTCTGCACTCATGCCACCTCTCACTCATGGCGTTTTCCTCATTCATGCTGAGATCTACTAAAGAATTTGCAAAATATTTTTTGGTTACTGTTTCTAAGCGTGGAAGAGTTAAGTGAATTTTGGTGTGTGATCGTGGGTAGTTTCGGTGAGAGTTACCAGGAGTTTCCAATCCAGTCAGGTGCAATGACAAGGGAGGCCTCTGAAAGCAGTTCAGCAGCATGCCAGAGACTAGCAAGTTGTTATTAACAGCATGTGTATTTAACACAACTTGAAATTCATAAACAGTGATACTGACAGCTCAGCTGTGCTGCTTCCTGACATTCCATTCATAACAGGAGATTTTTACAATTTGTACTGTCATCAGAGCAGGTTGGGCCCTTTTGGGTGAAACATTTGGTTTGACAAATCCATTCCTCTTCACAATACGTGGTTGTAGAATCACAGAACAGTTTGTGTTGGAAGGGACCTTCAAAGCTCCTGTCGTTCCAGCCCCCTTCCATGGGCAGGGAGATGTTGCACTAGACCAGGTTGCTCAAAGCCTGTCCATCCTGGCTTGGAACACTTCCAATGATGGGCATCCACAACTCCTCTGGGCAACTTGTGCCTCATTTAACCTGTCAGGATGTTTCTCAGGTCAATGCTGGAAGCAAAGCCCAAAGCAAAGCCCCCCACAAGCAGGAGAGGGAGAACATATTTCTTGGTTTGGGTTAGAGAACCAAGCCCTTTAGGCTGGCTTGCAGACCAAGTCCCTGGCAACTGAACCTCCATCTATTCTAGTGTCTCTTTGGCTCTGGCTTTCTGTCAGGCTCTCTGTCTTTGCTTTCTTCAGTTATGTTTCTCTATTAAGATTTTCCAGGGGTTATGCTTTTATTCCACATCAGAACAACACAGATGCCATAGCATTCCTCAGAGGATGCAATTCCTGTTCTCTGGCTAGCCCAAGTTATCATGGAAATTATTAGTTTCCTTAAACATTTATTGTACTCATCCAGAAATACAAGCTTGCCCTGTTTCAATACGAAACACTATGCACGGAAAGGAGAAAATTCCACACAGTACCACAAACATAATTCTTGTAAGAAAGTGGTATGTTAATTAATAAAGTCTGGGAGCCACTGGTTTAACATATTAATGAATTTGTTATGCAGAGAGAGATGAAAAGATAATTTTCTTTTTAGATTTTTGAATGTCTGATACCTTTATTGTAGTTATGTTCTATTTCATGTCTTTCTTACAAGCATTCTAGTAGTGTTTCTAATAGTATAACTGTGTTAGACAATTAGTTCAGCAAAGAGATGGAGAAATAGAGGGTTATAGGCCAGATGAACATGGTCAAACCTTGAAACAGGCAGGACAACTGTGGAGGTAGATCCTGGAAGAGAAATCCTTTTATAACTGAGGACCTGCAGAGACTGGGCTTTACTTAGGAGCAACAGCATGAATGACCTGGTGGGTCACAAAAGCCAGGTGAAAAAACTTGTGTATTTTACCAAAGGGTTTGGAACATGAAGGCCCTGCTGAACTGGACTGGTACGTGTGTGAATCAGATGTGGCAGTGGGATCTATGGCTTCATGTCTTCATTGATGCAAAGAGGAGAGAAGCTGCCTTTTTTGCAGGCTGCTGTGAGAATAGTGGAGAAAATTTGTCTTGGGCTGATCCAGCCCTTTCCAACCCCAGTGGGTTGAAGACCATTTTTGAAGTGCCTCCAGAGGATGCACACAGAAATGTCATCTTGGACCTGTAAACCTCTGAGCTACTGCCAACCCAGCTGAGTGCTGCTCTAGGACTGGTGGAACCTGAGCTATCTCATCCCCCAAAGGGGAGATGGCATTTCATGGAGATAAGCACATTAGGAGGCATTTGCCCACTCTGATATGGCCTCTGATAGCTCTAAGCAGCAGGGCTGGTTGAACCACCCCTTGGGCAGAAGCCAGCCTGTGGGTTGTAGGTTGGACCACAGAGAAATTGTTAGGCAAAGTAAGTGAGATGAAGGGAAGGTGGGATTGCAGTTTGCCCTTGGCAAATAGTGCCCGAGCTGGCATGGGACAGCCTTGTCACCTGGCTAACAGTGCTTCCAACAAGTCATAGAAAAAAATGGAGTTTCTGGAGCTGCATGGACGCCTTAAGCACTCACATTAAAACTGACTGCTGGGCATTTTTGGTGGGTCCACTGGCACTGTTCACTGTGTGAACCATAAGCGATTTTAAATGAGAGGTACCTGCAGAAGCCTGAAAGAGAGGAAAAATTCGTGTGTTGGGATATTGTCCTGCTGTTCTTTCTGCACAGTCTCAGGGCCTGGAGTAGAGAGATGTTAATGTTTAAAATTTTCTTCACCTTGGAAGATCTCCAGGGGATGAAAAAATTGGATAGAGCTTTGCAGTTCTTCATTATAGTTTATATTTTTGCATTACTATGGAAGTTAAAAACTCTAGTTTCATGTCAAGAAGAGACAAAGAATAAAAGTCAGTGATTTCCAGTGGGTTTCCCATGAGTCAGGAGAGCCTGGGGCTCTGACCTGAGGTCCAGTGTACATTGGGGCAGTAACCCCACTGAGACCAAGCAGTGGGCATTTGATGAGAGTTTCAAGAGATTAAATTCTCCATGACTGCACATAGACTGCATGTAGGGGATTCACTCCAAAAACTCCTGTAGTTATTTTTTAGCTGATTTAGGGACTGCCTGAAGGTACCTTGTGGCTTTCCTCTAAGTTTCATGCAAAAGGCTAAGAAAAACAGCCTTATTATTACCTATACTGAGTTTTTTCACTGCCCTGCCTGCAGAAGTTATGTACCCTGTACTTTATAACCCACTCAGCTTCTCTACATCTGTTTTAGCTGCTGTAAAGAGAATACAGAAGGCAGAATACAGCTCAGAATAATTATACTTTATTCTGATACATGTACAAAAGTTTTGGGATAAGAATATAAATTTTTTTACAGATTCCTTCTGGATGCATCAGGAAGAATCAAAGGCCAGATTCTGCCCTAAGTCCCTGCAAGTGTATACTGGTGTAACTTCTTAAAATCAATAAAATTAGTCTGCACTTACACAGTGTCAGATTAAAAGCTATGAAATCAAAACCAAACCCCATGAAATCTAGTTTTGCAGTGTCCACAGCAAGTTGTAAAACCCTCTATGGTTACTTAGAAGTGGTTCTCTGTCTCAGGAAAAAAAAATTAAAAAAGGAGTATTAAATCTGACCCTACAGCCCTGCAAAGTTAGATGCCAATGCTTCCATCTTATTGAGAAGCCAGCAAACTCCTCTTTCCAGTGGCGCCATGCTATTATTTCCTGAGTTACAAAATGCTGCTTCTTAAATTCTTTGCTGGTTCTTCAAGATCACTTACTGACTCCTAACCACTGTAGGTCCAAGATAAGCTTTACTGGGGGAGAAATTTATCTGTGGAGAAAGAAAGAGAAGACATTTCCTGAACCTAGCATCTGTTGGCATCTACAGAGCAGTTTGATGCATTAGAGGTGGGCCCTTGGGAGAAGGAATAACATCGTGCTTCTATTTTTGCATGAAATCAGGCTCGGCAGAGGGCATGATGATGCATGAGTATCAGTGTGCATCTGCTTTCTCACTGTCATTTCCTCAGTTAGGAGAGGCAGAGGATGGCAGTAACAAAAGGGATGCAAACAGCCCTCCTCATTACCTACTAGGGCAGTGGGGATCTTTGTTCAAGTGCTCTCTACAGACAGACAGTTGCCAGCTGGTGGTGTAACTCATGCTGCCACTGCTCTTTGCAGGGACACAACTCTGTTTCCACTAGGTGCTTGGCTCCATTTGGCATTTTTCTTTATAGCTGAACACCTCATGACAATGCAGCTGATTCACTGCACCAGGGCTGGAGTAAGGACTGCAATTGTGCCCTCTCAGGGGATGAAGTGGGAGTACAGGAGTGTGAACCCAGCTCTGCTCCCAGCCCGACTTTTGGGACTTGAAAGAGGGGGGTGTGCTGTTTTAAATATTCACGCATACACCCTTAGCTTCAACACTGAAGCTTACAAGCATTTTAGGTCAGAGCTAGTGTAACCAGCCTGAAGCAATGCTGCATCGTGCTGTAATCTTGACAATTTTTTCAACTAAATGTGCTTGAATCTAGTCATTTTCCTGATGGCTCATCTCCAAGAAAATGGTGTCGATCATTTGGTAGGTTTCAGGGTTGGATGTGAGTCAGCTCTGAGTCAGGCAGCAGCTTTAGCTGTGTGAAGTGCTGGTCCTCCTGTGCTGGCACAACCTGTGGGGCCTCAGCTCTGCGACAGACTCTGCTCCTGAGCCTCCCCAACAGCAGCATGTGGGAACGTAAGCATGGGGCACTCACAAAGCAAAGGGGCAATTCCACAGCCCCACACTTTCGGCTGTTCACCTGCTCAGCACTCTCGACCTCTGAAGATGGCAGGGTGTGTAAATGATGTTGGCAGCAGCCAGGCAGAAGGAGATGGGGACCTGTCTTGCTCTCTGCAGAGGTGCCCATCTGACAGGGTGTGGGCACAGCGAGTCACTGCTGCACAAACAACTTCCCTCCCCAGAGCCACAAGGAAGTATGGAAAGAGCTTTGTCCAGAGCCCTCTGTCCCTGGCAGGGTGTTTCAGTTTATATTGACATTTATATTAAATAGGGTGGTGTCCCAGTTCTCAGACAGTCAAGAGAAAAGCCAGACACAGCCTTGGTGGCAGCAGCCACTGCGTGTGTTGTGCAAAGCAGCGTGACTGACGGGTTCCTCGCTCTCTCTTTGTCTTTCTCTCCCCTTGCACGGCGGTGTGATTGAAGCAACGCCCCGTGAAACAGTCCCTGAGCGCTTGCATGTGCCGAGAGTCCCACTGGAAATGCCTCCTCCTCTCCATCCTCATGTATGGCTGCCTGGGTGCAGTGGCCTGGTGTCAGCTGGCCAGAGTCACCAAGCTCAGCTTCGATAGCTCCTTCAAGGGCAAGTCCATGATCTACCACGACAGCCCGTGCTCGGACGGCTATGTTTATATCCCACTGGCCTTCCTCTCCATGCTGTATGTGGTGTACCTGGTGGAGTGCTGGCACTGCCACGTCAAGAGGGAGCTGCAGTACAAGGCAGACGTGGACAGCGTGTATGAGTGCATCAACCGCATGCAGCAAGCCACTCCGTGCATCTGGTGGAAGGCCATCAGCTACCACTTCGTACGGCGGACGCGGCAGGTGACCCGCTACCGCAACGGCGACGCCTACACCACCACGCAGGTCTACCACGAGAGGGTCAACACACACGTGGCTGAAGCTGAGTTTGACTACTCTCACTGTGGGTACAAAGACATCTCCAAGGAGCTCCTGGGCTTGGAGAGCTATACAGCCACCAAGCTGAGGTTCACCAAGTGCTTCAGCTTTGCCAACATTGAGTCTGAGAACTCTTACCTGACTCAGAGAGCTCATTTCTTCACGGAGATCGAGGGCCTAGATGACTACATGGAGGTGAGGGAAGGCATGCAGCTCAAAAACGTGGATTTTAAAGAGCTTATGATGGCCTACGGAGACCCGGATCACCTCCCGTGGTACGTGTCCCATTATGCTTTCTGGGTGGCAGCCATCCTGATGATCTCGTGGCCGCTCAGGGTGCTCATAGAGTATCGGACTGCTTACGTCCACTACCACGTGGAGAAGCTGCTGGGGCTGGAGTACACGGCGCCCACGACGGCCGAGGAGCCCTTGTACCGGTACCGCATGCCCCGGGACGCCACGCAGGACAGCACCGAGCTGGAGTGGCACATCTGCACCAACCGGCAGCTGATCCCCAGCTACTCGGAGGCCATGCTCATGGACCTGGCCAGCTCCCCGGCCTACAACAGCTACGCGGTGTGTCGCTACGGCGACACGGCCCACGGCTGCGAGCGCTGCAACCGTGCCTCCAGCACCTCCTCCATCTTCTCGCGCCACGCTTTCCACAGCTGCAGCGGCAACTCGCGCCTCTCCCTCAACACCAGCCGCTTCTCCCTGTGCCGCGTCCACGGCTCCCACAGGACAGGCCTCTGGAGGAGCCGCAGCAGCAGCATTGCGGAGCGGGGCTGCCAGGACGAGCAGTGCTGCTCCTACTCCAGCCAGCTGGCTGTCAACGAGAACCCGCCAACCTACCACGATGCCCGCTTCTTCCCTGTCCTGATCGTGCACAGGCCGGAGGGGCAGGACAGGCGACATTTCTACATCAGGCGTTCCTCCTGCCTAGAGACCTCTCTGTGACAGGCCTCCGTGGGTACTCGGCTCCTCTGCTCTGCGACGGGGACTGCAGACGTGGCGCCAGGATGGGGTGACCTGGCTACAGGTCAGCTGGACGAGTTTCAGCTCTTCCCCCTGCCATTGCAAGAGGACATAGAGACTCTGACCAACACACAACCTCATTTCCAAGATTTTCCCCGCTTCCACCTGGTCTCCCATGTCTTTCATTCCCCATTCCTCTCTTTCACTCCTCACACTTCCTCTGCTCCTTGATTCCCTGCCTCTCCTCCCATCCCACCCTCATTCTTTTTTTACATTTCAGTCACAGCATTTGATTGTTGTGGCTGCTGGAGGATTTAAAATACTTGTGCTTTGCCAGTACATTTGCCCTCCTGGATGCTTTGCAAGGTAAGAAGCTCAGATAGAGCAAGGCACAAGGCACACAGCCAGCCAGAGTCAAGTCAGAAGGAGAATTCAGATCTGCAGGCGCTGAGTCACCTCCTGCAAACCCCAAACAACGTGCTTTTTTTAAAATTTTATTTTCCCCAATCTTTTTTTCCTCTTCTTCTGTCATTCCTTCTCTCCCTTGTTCATGTTCTTCTTCTCTTTCTTCACCCTCATCTTCCCTTTTTTTCCGTTCTCTCACTTCTGCTTTCCAGTTTTTCTGGGGTTTTGCCAGTGAGGATATCTTTCAGGGTGTAATTATCTTCCATTGGGCAGCAGTAAGGTATTCATGGCACAAATGTCACTGACTGCTCACACAGCCACAAATGAAGCCCCTGAGAAGTGCAGAGGACTTTCTTTCAGGAGCAGTGATGTATGTACACCGATATAGTGAAATGCCCTTTGCTCACGCTGCCCTGCCTGGTCTGCAGCAGAGACGCTGCTGCATTTCCAGCTGTAGTTTACCTTGCCCAGCTCCACCCCCGATAGCAATCGCTGAGAGCCATAATGTAGATTAGTGCCCTGTTAATGTCACTATTTTTAGGACAGTAGGCCTGGTTTGTGGTTGTTTCATTCCTTCGACTTGAGTGCGGCAGCACAGGCTTGACAAGGGGAGAGGGGCTGGAGAAGGAAAGGTAAATATGGTATTAACCCTCCCACAGAGAGTCTGGAGCTGTTAGGAAGCTCTTCCACCCACAGTGTCTATTACAACAGTTGTAGGACCGCCTACATTACCTTTCAGCTTTCCATGTGCCCTAAGGAGAGCTTTTGGTCTGTAACCCACTTCACCTTCCCAGGCGAGATGTGGTGCCACCCCAGCCCCAGGCAGGGAGCACAGCTGGGAGCCAGCCCCACTGGCCACTCCTGCTGGGGCTCCAGCTCTTCCTGTGAGACCTCCCCTGGAGCAGGTGTGGCACCTTCCAGAATTAGTGCCAGCCTCTCCAAATCCAGAGGGTGTCTGGTCCTGACAGAGCACGCCACTGCACCCTGGGCTGTGGGCTCTGTCCCCTGGCCTGGTCCCCTCCGAGAGCCAGGGGCTGGTCCAAGAACCTTGTGGCCACACTGAGGACCCAGCAGGGACCTCACACCTGCCAAACCTCCGTCCCACAAGGGATGGTTGTACCCTGAGCAAGCTCCTTTTGTCACGTGGCTGGTGGAGATTATTATCCACTCTGACTCACAGGAGAATGCAATACAATCGCAATACATACGGTCACTTTCAAAACCAGTGTTGTCTCACCCTTACCTTACAAGTAGGTAAGAAACTGAGCCCCTAGAGGGGCTGGCAACAAGTGCTTCCTCCCAAGTCCATTTTGTGTGTATCAACATGTAATATGAAATTTGTAAAGTCATATTGATATGCATAGATTATATGTAACTCTGCATACTTATATGGTGATTTCTTATGGCATTGACTGTTGCACCATGTTAAATACATTTTGGTTTTGTTTGATGACTCTGTTTTGATGTGCTGTATTTATTTAAACTCAGAAATGGAAACATTAGCAATACCTGGCTAACCTGCTGCAAATTATATCACCATCAGACAGGTTTTTAAAATTCTTATGAGTTGATCTTTTTTAATGTAAATACTTCATGTGTGATTTATGTGACATTTTCATTCTGACAGCTTGGCATTTATCACAAAAGACAGATAACACATATGATGTGTTAGTTTGTCACCTCTAAAAAAAATAACCATCCCCGACATGTGGAGGAACAATGTTTGGGCTTGGGGTGATGATTATGATTGAGCTGGGGCCAAACTGGATAACCCTGAAACTTAGAGAAAAATCCAAATTTAGATCCACCATACAGTGACCCAATCCTAATCTCCCTTGTCTACACCATGCCACCTGCCACACCCAGGCAGAGCTGGGAGAGTTTGGGAACTAGGAAAGGATCAGGCCTGAACTCAAAGTTCAGACTCATACCTGATATCCTTGTATTTTGAAGACAAAGTAAATGCAAGCCTTAAATAGACCTCACTGTCCTTCTCTTTATTCACACAGAAAGATAAAACCAGCACATATGAAAGATATAAGAGCTGGAGGAGGCTGAAACACAGAGACTGGAATATTTCAACAGTCACTTATTGAAGAAGGTGGTTGAGAGGAAGACAAGAAAGGAGAAGGGAAGAGATGGTAGAATAATATAAATTAAAAGAGAACAGAGTTCAGCTGTAGCTAAGAGAATTCCCGAAAGAGCAGCATAACTCAGTTATGGTAAGCTTAGCCCAGACACAGGCAGGATGAGTTTCAGCCTTCTTGTGAGCTGCTCTTGCTGCTGCAGCCACACATGGCTTTAAATACCATACCCAAGATGGCCAGTTTGGTCCCACGTGTATGCCAAGATGGAGAGTTATATTTGGGTCCTCTGAAGTGGCCACGTTAAACACTATTATTATCTGACATGAACAATCCATTATTATGGGTTGGGCAGAGAATGGAGAGAGTTTATTCTCAGTTTAGTCCTTCTCAGTGACCTGAAAAGCCATGGTATTATCCAGTAGCTCTCAAGCTGTGTCCTTGACAAGTTTTAGAAAGTCCTCAGGGTTTCTGCTTCTTCAGTCCCTCTATTCTGGCCCAGCTTTGGGGCATTAATTTGAGAAGCCATCCTTTATCTGCAAAAGCCCTCATACACGTGGAGCTTCCTCCTGTCACTTGCTGTAGCCTCTGGTACTGACCAAAAAGCTGGGAGCAGTTCTTTTTCTAGTCTGGGACTAAATATGCTGGCTTCAACAGATCCTCCATTCAGGAAGCACTTGAATAGCCATCCTGGGTCTCCTACACTGTAGAGCAGAGCAACTCCTGTACTCCTGCAACCCTTGGATGCCACTTCATCCTTGTTCTTGACATTGCCACGGCTTCCCAGTGCAGGATGAGGGGTCTGCCCTCTAGCAATGGAAGGGTTAATGCTGCTTTTCAAATCCCAACTTGGAAGGATGAAGTGGACAAGTTCTTAAATCCCAGTGCAAACTGGGCAGCTCTACAGAAAACACCTTGTACAAAACACAGGGATTTTCTATCCAGTTGCAGACTGACTATTTTGACAGAGGAGCAGTGGCATGTGCCAGCAGCTCTTGTTGAACTTTTAGTGCTGTGGCTTCTCATGTGGAAATTGGGGGTTTGGCTGCTTCCTCATTGGGATAACCTGTTGCAGATGTCCTGTTGGGTCTCAGTAGTTAGAAGAGGCTGAACAGCAGAGGAAGGTGAGGAAGTCCAGCAAATATTTCTCTTCCTTCTGCCTTCTCTCTTTTCTCCCCTTCCCTTTTGTCCTTTCTTCTCTTTTTCTGTCATCTTCAGAAGTCTCCCAGCACTGGGCATTCACCTCTTATTGTATGGCTCTTCAGGCATTTTCTGGAATATACCTACACTTCCCAGCACGTCTGGTGAGATGTGGCAACACACTATTGCAGCAGAAGTAAGGAGAGAATGCGATCCGGAGAGACAACAGCTGTGTCCTGTGTGTGTGAACAGTGAGCACTGTCACTGATGTTGCAGCCTGAAGAATAAAGCCATGGTGCTTGATTCAGTGCCACAAGAGCCTAAGAGAGTTTATTTGTCTCCAGTTCCTAAAAACATTTAAGAATCACCAATTCCTTTGCTTTCTGCATGGTGATACTGCACTCCTCTGTAAGTTTTCCCAGTGCAGTTTGCACTTCAACTGGCAGTGTGTGCAGAATTTCAGTCCAATTTTCACATGGCTCTTCCTGCCTATCACTGTTAACACAAAGCCCTTCTCAGAACAGCTGAAGTCAGATCACTTGATGGGGAAAATCCCCCTTGCTCTACAGCTTCCAGCAAAGCTTTGCTCTCTTACACCAACCCAGAATCTGGTCTGTGCCATGCTACAACAACTGGAGCACTTCCTCAGCCCATGGGACCAGTGTAGTGTAAGCCTCTGTAATTGTAGGGCTGGAAGAAATCTTTAGAAGGAAAACACCATAGAAACATGTCATTCTAATGGCCATTATTTTTTTTATCGTGAGACAACTAAAATCTGCAAAAGTAGCTACCTTCTGGAGGGTGCTATTGCCATAAGTGCACAAACACACCATGTAGCTGGATGGATACATGGGGGAGAGGCAGCAACAACACCAAGTGTGCATGAAGCTTTTAGCATGCACCAGCACAGAACCTCTCAGGCCAAGAGCCGTCCCCAAGTGCAACTAGACTTCCTAGGAGCACTCAAATGGATGGCTTTGTCAGTGTCTCCTCCCAGCTACCTCATTGCAGCAGGAGGCACTGGGGAGGGAATGACATTTCCTTTCCAGTAATCAAATCTTCTTGACATTGCTCCAGTCCCCTAGGAATTCCTATCAGAAATGCAAGTGACTTGGGGGGGAAAGTGAAGATTAGTGTTTGGAATGCAATTATATGAGTTTGTTATGCCTCAGTTTCTCCTTCCCCCTACTGGGGATAATGCAGTTTCCCTGCACTCCTCCGTTTAGCCAGGTTTCCAGAGTGTTGCAGGAGCTGCTGGGCAAGTGCTGCACGCTGACGGCTGTGGCAGAGCTAAGAGCTGCATCGTGTTGTAAGGGTATTGCTCCTTATGGCGCCTTTCAACCCAGATTCTCA